CCACCCTCGCTCTCTGTCTGACCGTCTCCTCCGCTCTATTAGCACGAGAGGCTCAAGCTCTAAACTGATACGGAAGAGAATAAAAATTAAAACATTGGGACATTTTAAGAAAGTGGAAACAGTTTTTTTTACAAATGTCATTTTTTTAACCACGTTTTTATTAATTTGTGAACCTTGTTCAACAAAGAAAAAAACAATGCTATCACGTGTTAATTTTTATTTATTTGTTTTACTTTAAAAATATATGATATGCAGCAGTGCGAATAAACAACAATAGCTGAATTTAGAACTGGCTGGTTGGTATTCCGATGAAAACTGAACAATAGAATATGAAATATTAATAAAACACTTCCAAATGCACCATTCTGAATAAGGACTATTTTTACTTTAGAAACAAATGTTAATTTGACAGATAATACTTCTTTACTTACACTGAAATAACTTAAAATTCAGCACAACCCCTTCTGTCCCTGGCGGGCTTTTACTTTGAAAAATGTTCTCACCAGCTTTTATTTTGTAGTATTTTGCTAGCATATGTCTTTCCTCCTTACTCTTTTTTGGAAATATTTAAATTGTGTTTAATCAAACTCACAGTAGCAGGTGGTGATTGGTGGAACGTCTTCTTTAATGAATGAGTGTTAACGAGGCAGATAATGATCACAAACACACAATCGCACACACGCACACACACTCAAGTCTTTATGAATGGCTGCGGTTTCAGAAGCAGAGCTACATCTGTACTCCTCCTCTCACTACAACTCCAATCCTGCATTATTCAGGCATGTTGTGAGGCGGAGAGCGCTGACCCAGAAATCAGGGGGAGAAGAAGAAGAAGAGATAAAGCGGCGTGTTTTCACCAGAGGGAAGAAGAGGGAGAGAGAGATATCTCTGTGTTAAAATATCTCACTTTGAAGGCACGGTATTATGGGATGCATTTCACTTCATCGCATTTTGCTTAATTTCTCATCAAATCAGATTTATTTTTCATCTAACTGAAGAATCAAATTTGTATTAAACTATAACTACTACGATCTTTATCAAAATTAAAATAAAATAAGTATTTCAACTTTGAATAAATGTTGTTTTAAAATTCTAGAGACATTTGTATTTTAACTCTTGAGAATTGTTCGATATACACTAAAATCTTTAAATGTTCTATTTAGCCTGGATATATTTATCATTTAAAGTCTAGATTAGGATATACATTTTTCAAATGATGGATACATCTAAGTTTCATTGCTGTTAAACTGCTGTCAATGGAACTTCCTCCCAATATCTTCACAATAAAAGAACATATTAAACATTCTGTTGCCATACATATTATTTTCTACATTTTATTATTATTTTATTTTACTCTATTTATTATTTTTGTTACATTTAATTTTGTAGTTCGTGTTTTAAAAAAATCTGTTATAATTTTTTCCTCTACTGATACAAATGGGTTTTGTTCTGATTTGATTAAGACAACAATCAATTAGAAATTAAGATAATAGATAGATAATATCACCAGGAATGGGTGTTTAAGGAATATTTATTATTTTTTACTCGGGCCGGGACTCGATTAAAAAAATTAATCTAATTAATTACAGGCTTTGTAATTAATTAATCGCAATTAATCGCATTTTTAATCGCATATAAATATTTGACCTGAGAACAGTGAGAAGCAATTTTTTTCACATGGATTTTAGTATACCATTGAATAATGACTGAATACATAAGCTTAAGCAACAAAACATTGTTTATTTTTTTCAAGGCTATACTTAACAAAGACCAACAGAAAAGTGAAATTTTTGCCATAAAGTGTAGCAATAGCATATTTAGGAATACAGTACATTTCAGATATTCAGGTAGCCTATAGGTAGGTAGACCTTCTGTAAACTATAACACTTTGTTTTTGAAGTATAACACAATACTTTCAAGTACATTCAGAACATTGGAAACCCTGACTATTAGAAAACATCTCTCTGTTGCTTCAGAGGCCATAACAGACTTTGTTGATTTACCAACAGTTGATTTAAAAAATCTAATCAATTTCAGTCCAACTCTCTCAATAACCTTGGCCAAAACAATAAACAGTTCAACATAAAGTGCCAGTTGCACCAACAACGTAATAAATAGTTCAACATAAAGTGTACCATTTAAAATAAAATAATATTCTTGCCAGTGATTGACCTCAATCCCTCCTATTCTTCCAATATCCTGATGAAAAATAAAATCTCTCTGTTGCATAGGCCACTGTTTGATCAACGCGAATTGGGTGTGGGTCCTTGGTCTAACGTCCACGCTAGCTTCTACGCTAGCTGCTATATGTTTTGCATTGAGGTGATACTTGAGGCTTGATGTGCTGCGGTGATATGCGAATTCCTTTTTGCATAATTTGCAAACAACTGTGCTCTTATCGACTCTTCCCTCCGTCCGTTTTTTAAAACAAAATGTCCCATCCACGGGGCCAACCAAAGCGGTCTCATCAGCTTCTTCGTTCACGTTTGACTATTGTTCACTGTGGTTTGTTGTTGTCTGAAGTAATGAACGTTAGTTGGTGCTCCAGTATAATCGGTACCCCTGAAACTCATCCAGTGAGAAACGTTCCGCGGTGCAAAAATAAGTGCGATTAAAATGCGTTAATTTTTTTAACGCGTTAATTTTTGTGTAATTAATTCATCTTAATTAACGCGTTAAAGTCCCGGCCCTATTTTTTACATGTTTTTTTGTATGCTTTCAAACCATGCGTGTATTGCGTGCGCTCAGAGGATGAATAAAATAGAAATTGAAAACATCCGTTATAAATTGGATGCTACATGTAAAGAAAGAGTAGAAGAAGAGTAGTTACAGGCAGATGTCACTCACATGTCCCCTGAGGTTTACCTCCCATCCTCTCAGGGTCACTGCATGCACTTTAAATACTGCAGACAAGAGCTGCATGCAACACCACAGGGTGGGGGGGTATCAACAGGGAGGTATAAAGGAATAAGAGGGGAAATGGAGGGGAAATGAAAAAGGGACACATATATTTTGGAAAGGTGGAAACAGAAAAATAAAAAAAATCATCATTTGTCATGCAACAACTGAAAACACCAACATGCAGAAGTAACAGAAAACTGAAATAAATGAAACAAAATGGTGTTGACACAGAGCTGTACAACATTACAATGTTATTGTTTACCCAGAAACATATTTTTACTTTGATTGATTTATTGATCAGTTTATGTTTTTTGCTCATTTTATTTTCCAAAATAAATGCTGCTTCAAAGCTGCTTCACTGACAGTGGAAATGATATCTTTTTTTAATAAAATAATATTCAAATTACCAATAAAAAATACAAGTGAGCTTTTAAAGCCAAGCATATTCAGAAGCCGCCCCTTGTGGATTATATATTTATGCATCCTTACAAACCATGTGTTTGGAAGACTAGGACTCATATATTTCACATAAATAAACATTTTGAATTATTTTTGAGAAAAAAGGGATGGAGCATTCCATGTTTTGGGGGACATTTTTTTTAAATATTATGATTAAAAGAATTGCCGACATCTTGAAGAGTTGTCATGGATTTCATAAAAAAAAGGCAGATATAGCCTGACATTTTTTTGTAATATTATAATTTAGAAGTTGTAACCTTTTGAGAAAAAATGCTTAATACTTTGAGAATAAAGTTCAAAATATTTTATTTAAAAAAAACCTGCTTATTGTGAGAAAGTCGAAAATCCCACAATAAAATGAGAAGGTAGAATATTATATGAAATACAAATCCTTTACTCCAGATGTTTATTCTGGATTAGAGATAACGGTTAGTTGAAATAAAGGATTAAATATGATATTCAAATAATATACATATATAAAGGGTTAAATAAAACAATAATGCCAGACAGCAAAGGCTCTCCGGTGAAACCTGACCTTTACATATCAGCCTTCTGACATTACTGCTGAGTCATGAGGGCGACTGCAAGCTGCAACAGCTCCACAAATCAACACAAATATATGAATTGAATCATATGGAGCTGGGGCTATTCCAGTGCTGCCAGATCAATCCAGAAAATGCTACAATCAACATTTATATTGTTAAATATGGGTCCATGTGGCCTTGGGGTGGGGGGTGTTGCCTCTAGGTTTTTTCTTTTTCGTATTTTTTCTTTTGTTAATATCAGAAGCTAAAGGATTGTAGATAATCTCAAGATAAAAGCTTGAACTATTGGAAAAAGTCTCAATATTGTGAAAATAGTATTTTTTTTATTTTTTATTTAAAGCATAACTAAGATAATAGTTGGAATATTCAAGGAATATTTTGAGGAATAAATCAGAATATAAAACATTTTTAGAATAAAGAGGCCAACAATTCCAAGTTAAAAGCATGTATAAAAGGAGTCCCAATATTTTAACGAAATATTTGGAACATTTGATCAAATGTATAGTATTTATTATAATAGCTCTATGTATTTTTGCATCAATGGCAGCCTGTGTAGATGATATTTCAGAGCAGACACGTGATGTTTTGCAGCTGAGTGTAATTTCCCTTTTTTGTGAGCGTATGAGTAAAAGAGTGAGCATGCAGGTGCGCCTTACTCTCGTCAGGGTTGGGGGCGGCCAAGATGGCGCTGTGCTGCTTCTTCACCTGCTCCACATCCTCTGACAGCTTTTCTATACAGCCTCTGATCTCCTCCACCTGCACACACACACCACACACACACACACACACACACACACACACACACACACACACACACACACACACACACACACACACACACACACACACACACACACACTGTATTACATTCTCTACAGGAGCTGAGGTTAAAAATCCCATTTGCATTTAAACAGACAAAAGCATGACATTTTGAAATTAAAAGGCCAAAATAAGAGCTGTGTGTGTGTGTCTCACCTGTTCGAAGAACTCATCCATGAAATGGTCCCTGTCGACCTGCACCACTTCCTCATCATCATCGCTGTCCTTAGCCTGCAGACCCACAGGGAATACACTCATTAATATTAAGCTGATTCATGTTTCAGACACATGGATGTACAAGGATTATGAAGCGCTAGTTCACATTTCAGACACACAGGAGGTACACAAGTTATTATTATCATGAGTCATGTTTTAGACACAGGAAAAACGTGAATAAAGTAAAGCTGAGTCATGTTTCAGACCGTAACATACAGAAGTTAAAGTAACACTGAATCATGTTATCATGTTTACGACAGGAAATTCACAAGTTAAAGTAATGGTGAGTCATATTTCAGACACACAAAAATCATGCGTAAAGTAACGCTGAGTCATGTTTCTGACAGGAAGTAAACAAGCTAAGTAACGCTGAGTCATGTTTCAGGCACAACCAGAATTATCATTCAAAGGCTTCATTTCCAAACAAAAACTATTCTCAAATCTTCCATCATTTCAGATGTTTCAATCCTGAGCTTAAAACTTTAATAAAAATGTACCTTTAAAAAAAAATATATATATATATTCTATGTTATTTGATTATTGTTCACAGTGGAGTCACGATGGAAACACAATGTACAGTAACACATGAGACAGACAGACAGCAGGTGAGGCAGACTAAAGCCATCCCTGGATGAGTAAACAGTTTCCAATTACACTGATTGGATTTCTATTGTTGTTAACAGAGACGAGTGTTTACAGTGAGAGTGTGTGTGCTTGCAGATAATGAAAAGCTCTTCAGTTCAGGATCGATGTCCTTATTGTTATACTATCAATAGCAGAGAGAAACAGCTGGATTAGTATCAAACATTACAGAGTACAGTATATGTTCTTATCGTGTCAAAACATATGTTACTAAATACAAATGAGGTTTGGAAAACAAACTGAACATTTGGGCAACAATAAAGTATCCAACCATCTGATTGGCTGAAATTGTCTGAGGATGTAATAATGTCTAAATGTGGTGATGTTTAGCATCTAAGCTAGTATGCAGGCTTGGGGAGTAACGGATTACATGTAACGAGATTACGTTGAACAAAAAGGGAACTGTATTCGATTACAATTACATTATAAAAAAGAAGTAATCAGATTACTGTTACATTTTTCCAAAAATAGAGATTACTAGCAGGTTTATAGTGTTCCATGTAGGGCCGGGACTTTAACGCGTTAATTAAGATTAATTAATTACACAAAAATTAACGCGTTAAAAAAATTAACGCATTTTAATCGCACTTATTTTTGCACCGCGGAACGTTTCTCACTGGATGAGTTTCAGGGGTACCGATTATACTGGAGCACCAACTAACGCTCATGACTTCAAACAACAACAAACCACAGTGAACAATAGTCAAACATGAACGAACAAGCTGATGAGACCGCTTTGGTTGGCCCCGTGGATGGGACATTTTGTTTTAAAAAACGGACGGATGGAAGCATCGATAAGAGCACGGTTGTTTGCAAATTATGCAAAAAGGAATTTGCGTATCACCCAGGGTTCGTACGGGTGCTTGAAATCCTTGAAAATGCTTGAATTTTTACGAGGTGTTTTCATGACTTGAAAAGTGCTTGAATTTTGGGAATGGTGCTTGGATTTGAGATAAAGTGCTTGAAATTGTAAATGCTTTACTTTTACAATAAAT